TGTCTCTATCCTGGACTAGCCTCTTGATGTTATTCCATATTCTCCCACGTTTTTCTGTAAAAAGTAAAGTTGTTCCCGCATCCGATCCGGACATTGGGGCATGCCTTGCTAGTGAGACAACTCCCTGGGCCTTCGGCACATTGTGGTAGGTTCCTTTCCACGCCACCTTTACCTCCCCAACTAAAAGTCAGGTACCCATTACTGCTGGGTGGGCAGGAGTAGTAATGACATTTTTCTGTAGTGTAGCTTATTTTCCAAGCCTGGTATTGGGTGGCTCATCAGGTTTTAGCCCTGGACATTGAGATGGGCCAGACGATGACACTACCCAACCCACGTCACAATTCAAATTATCCCCAAAACGGACATCTCTTGTTTTTCCCATGTATCCTTAATCTATCTCAGTCCAGACCGTATTGTTCAGTTCAATTTTCGCTTGTTTATTCAATCACTCAATTATTAATGAATATATAAGAAGATATGCCATCCCTTTCTTGGAATAAAGACCTCGTTAGGACAAGAATGCTGTGCAATAATATGTTATAATATTATCATTCTGTCCGATTTGGTCATTATATAATCTGAATTGCATTGTACATTGCGGTTAAAAACGATTGCGTAATTTTACCCGATGAAGATGGGTGACAAAAACTTACAGATGTCAGAAAGAAGTGAGTCTACTAAAGCAAACAGTATTATAGACTTCATTTTGAAAATACGTGCTAAACCGCAGGCACAAATGGAAAATTGTGAGAATACATATTATAAGAAAACATTATTTTTTGTGGTAGGTGGTTTACAACCCCTTTGACACACAAATTATATAATTTAGGAGGCGGTCTTCGACCGACCCTGCACATTAGGGTCAACCCGGTTTGAGAAGGATAGGCCTACAGAGTCCCAACAGAAAGACCGAGATATTCGAGATACACAGGAATCGAACTCGAGCCCTCTGCATGCGACAATGAAGCGCCAAACTAACCGCTACACTTTGGACGCTGGTACACCATGGATAGCTTGTTTACAAAATTATAACTCTTGCTTCACCAAGGGAAGGGTGTAATTTCACCTACGTGTTGTAGTGCAGTATGCTAATAACTTCAACCACATGAGAAAAACTGAGGTTCTATTCTTAGTACAGAATTGAAAAAAAACCCATTCTTTCTTATTAAGCGACATTTCTCATTCAGCCTGATGACCTGACAGGCAAACTAGTTGCATTTCTTTGTAATAACCTAGTCTATTGTGTTTAGAATGTATATTAAGGAAAATGTTTTTGTTTTAGCAAGAGTTTTAAGGCACCTACAACACAATAAGGCCATGTTATTAAATGCCCGCCGAAGATTAGAGCTGTTACGAGAGAGTAAAAAAAAAGAAAGAGGGGAAATTCGGTAAGGACGATAGCAGAGGTTTGATAGGAAAGAAAGAGCAAACTGCACCAGAGCACCTGCCAACCTTCCATGAAAAATCTTTGAAAATGGTATAAGTTTAACACCCCTATCAACACTATTATAGTTTTGCCAAAAATTCGTGGCGCAACTTATTGTCATATATCTCCTCAACTATCTAAATCAAACTCTCCAGCTTTTGCACAATGACTTATATCCATTTGTCTTAATAGATCAATATTTTTATAAACACTTGCTGGCTTTATTCAAGAAAATTTCTTAATAAATACTATTAAAAAATCCTAGTGGGTGGTTTCTACAGATTTTAAAATTATGTTCACCGCCGGGACAATATCGCTATTAAAAGCAAGTACGTCATGCTTTTATCTTATCGCAACACTATGCTTATTGAATGCATGTTTTGATAACTTTTGGAGCAAAAAAGTGTTCATTCTAAAACTAATTTCTTGTCACTAGTTTTGTCACCAAAAAGTGTTATTGGTGTTAGCTGTGACGTAGGCCATATATGCATATGCAAAAAAAAAAGTGTATGAGAAGCGGGAAGTGCTGTAAACAATTTCATGTTCCGCGTGAAGGAGATGTGTAGTATTTTATATAAATTTATGTAGAATTAAAAAAAAATAATTTAGCCTCAGTTGTTGTGAAAAAATATGATTAAGTTAAGACAAATTGATACAAACTGATGGGCAGGGTATGGAGGAAATTGATTCACCCATTAAAAAGATATTTGAGAATAAGTTGAGCCACGGATTTTTGACCGCACAATAGGTTCATCTCCGAAAGCAGCGAGCCAAAACGGGAAATTCGTGGAAAGTGTCTTTCCCAAGGACACAACGTTGGGCCGAGCTGAGGCTCGAACTTAACGGAAACCTTTGATTTTCAATCAACAACCTTCCACCCCCCTCCCCCACCAACCCC